CTCTTCTGCTTTCTTGTTCTCGGAACACCTTTACTACCCAAAACTAACTGTCCAGACTGTCCACAAGGGCAGGCAGTCATCCAGCGGAATGTGGCTCAGCATCCCCAGGAACCAGCATGACCGATCTTGGCCCCAAGGTTGCCATCACACGACTGGTGGGTAAGCAGGTGAATGGATGGATAGAAGACTCCCCACAATCCTCCCAGCAACAGGAATACCAGTCACTGTATCTGTCTATCATTATGAGGCTCTCCACTCCCCCACCCCTACAGGAGGCAGCAGCAACAGCTTCAGTAACCCCCCAACACATCCAGTGTACCACAAATGGAGCCACTGAACTCAAGACCCCTTACCCTCACCCTTCCCTGCCCCTCTGCGGGGCTGGGGGATACTGTGTCAGCCCCTATCAACAGAAGACCTTTGCTGTCCCCATAGACACAAGCAAGTCACGCTAACCTAGAGGGCTCCCATAAGGATCTCACAATCCTTCCTCATACCCCTCGTACCCAAGCAATACTAGTAGACTTTCCATCTTCTCCACCCACAGCTATAAGCCTCTTCAACCCATCCTTCTCAACTGCCCAAGGAGAGCCCAGCCATGTCCAGCCCGCCCTCTCTTTAGCCTTTCTCGAGTCCCACCCTCCTCGCACGGTTCCTAACCACTGTAGTAGAATGCAGCCCACCCTCAGCCAGTACCTAACGTCCTCTCTGTCGTACCTTCCTTGGTGGAGAGGTGGGCCCGGTTGGATGGCATGCAGCACAGCCGATGCCTGGTGACCTGCATCAGACCCTTGTGAGGAGTCTTCCTCAGAATGGGGCTATTCTTCCCCCGGAGGGCCTGTCTCCGTCGCTGGGTGACATGGTTTTTGTTGGTGGTGGTAGCTGTGGGGCTACTCTTCTTGTCCCCTGGAAGGCTATGGAGATAAAACACACAAAAACACTACCAACAGGCTCACTGGGTAGATCTGCCCAAGCATCTTCCTCATTTGGAGACAACACGGGTTGCCATACTCTCCAAGTAAAGCAGAGCAGAGTGGTTTCAGCACCAGTCCCTACCCCAGCCCCAGCCCTTCTCCACGCCAGATGAGGCCTTGCAGAAGACTAAGGGGAAACTGATGGAGGACTGCATCCCTGAAAAGGAGCTGCACTCAGGCCTGCAGGCCACCTCCCCAGCATATCCCCCCCAAGGTCCTCACAACAGAGAATGACATCAGCATAAAAACAAATCTATCTCAGAGTCAGACAACTACAAACAGCATGTCTGGAGCACAAAGCCAGAAGGAGTGAGCTTATACAGAGTCTAAGACCAAACTGAAACAGCAGGAAGAACTTCCTTCGGGGCATTCATGGCAAGAAGAGGAAGTGTCTTTTGGAAGAACACTGTCTGATGGCATAGGCAGGCCCTCTCTACCTGGTAGGCAGACAGTATTTTTGCCATCAGCAGCTGATTTGAAGTTTCTGACCCATAACCATATACTGTGGGCTATGATGCCATCTTTCAGTCTCCCACAGCCATGCAAGGGCAGTGATCTCAGAAGTAATACGCACTCACAAAGCAGCACTTCATCCTGGCCACTTGGCCACACCGCTAGGATATAAACCAACCTGCTTCCTCTGAAATGCTGGCCACCCAGCATCTCAGCACACTTTGAAAGTGGTCAGAGAGCCCAAAGCAGGGAGAGCCTGGGGTGCCACGCTTCAACCCCTTTCACTGTCACCCAACACAACACAAATGGTTCAGTGCACCCTTCTGTCTGGGCCAGGACACACTGTCCCACAAAGCCCGACTTCCCGGAACCTAAAGCCCTCAAATAAAAACAGAGCACGAAAGTCCAGGCACACCTGGCAGAGCCCAGCACCCTAGTGCAGCACCCAGTTCACACACACAGCCCACTGCTCCAGTCAGAACACCCGCTGCAGCATTTACACACTGCTACACACTGGATTGGGGAGCTGTTCCCTATTACCTAACCTAGCACGACAGTCTGTTTTTTAACCCAGATCCCCACCAGAAGGGAAACTAACTGAAATGACCTCCTAGTTTCTCACCAAGAGAAGAAAGGATAGGTCTGCCAGTATTACCAGTGCCAGAGCTCTTGCCTCCCCATCCCTGCTAAGGCTCCCATGCAAAGACCCTGAATCACTCAAGCTTTTCCTGACCACACCTTTGTATGAACACTACCTCCAGCCTCAGTCCTACTAGAAGCATGACCCAAAATCACACTCGAAACTCCCAGCTTAGGCCACACATCTGTGGTGCTGAATAGTCCTAACATGGACCTTCTTTTTCCCCAACCTGGAAACCAGGGAGGGAAGACAAGCTAAGGTAACACGACAGCTCCAAATCCTCTAATTCAGGAGCCAAAGCCTTAATGAGTCCTACCCCACCCACTAGACAGGATATTGCAAGATGGAAAGACACACACCTGGTACTGCCCCTCCTCCGGATAATCTTGGTACGGCTCTTTACTTTGTAAGCTGAGAGCGGTGTTTCTCCAAAGAGGGGCTTCAAGTTGCTGGGTCCCACTGCTGGTCTGTCCCCTGGGGGGGACCTGGATGGAACTGGGGAGAGCTGAGAAGTGTGGTCCTTGCTGCCAGCTTCTGACTGCCAACGGAAAGAGGAAGAGGAGGACGCAGAGGGGCTGGAAGCCTTCCACTTGTACTTGCTAGGAGAGGGTCCAGTCTTGGATGATGCAGCCAGTTTCTGGGGCCTGGCCTCTAGGTCAACTTTAGGCTGTGGCTTCTCTGTCTTTCCAGCTGTGCCAAAAGCGGCCTTGTTCACACTCTCCATAGTTGTTCTGGGACTGAGAGCCCTTCGAGTGACCCGTGGACTCTTTTCTGAGGCAGCCACCCATTTGTAGTTGTTTTTCCGAAACTTGCTGGTTCGACAAGATACTAGCAGTGAGGGCTCCCTGACCTGCCTGGCTCCTGTTGCTGGTCTAACTGGAGCCACCACCGAACCCAAGGAAGCTGGATGGTCTGCATGGCCAATATAGGCTCTCTGGTCTCCAATGAGCTGTTCAACATAGCTGGCAGAATGAGGGCCTACTTTGCGGCCCAGGGTCCCACCAGTACGTTGGGGCACAACAGAGGATGGGAAGTGTGCCCTCCTGGCAATTTCACTTTCACTGACCGTCCGACGATGCTCGGAGGGGCTGTCACTAACCCTGCCCACAGACTTCACCACCCGAGGCTTGCCAGGCTCCTTCTGGCAGACCAGAAGGGGGTCATCCACACTGTAACCCACCTTGGTTCTTCCTGGCCTTGCCGGCTGCAGATGTCCACCAGGGAGCTCAACCTCACTTCCCTGCGGTCTTTGGTCACTCCAGGAGGACTCATCTTCCAAGGAGCCCCGCTGGACCCCTGAAGCACTGGTAGAGCCAGTCTTGGATGGTGGCTTGATTTTAATAACCATATTCTGATCTGGACTGAGCTGGACCTGTCTCTCCAGCACATACTGCTGAGGGTCAGGGTGCTGGCTGTCCCCAGACCTGAGGGGTGCCTGCAAAGCATGGTCACTGGCTGGGTCAGAAGATTCCAGAGGTTGGTTCACAAGGGAGTATTTCTTGCGCCACAAAGGGCCACGGTGCGAGGAGAAGCCCCTCCGACTTGGACGAGAGTAGCGGGCACCAAAGTTCCTGCCACCCTGGTAAGTGGGTGGCTGCCACCGAGAAGTAGCTGAAGTGCCCTGGGCAGGGCCATTGCCATGCAGGGTTTTATAGTCATCAATTAGACCTGAGAAGTCAGAATCACAGGCTCAGTTACCTAGGCGGCATGAATAAAAACCTCCTACAACAAAAACAGCAACAATCAAGACTACTACCCCTACCTAATACCCCCGACCCATTCTCCTTCCTGAGCCCCTCACTGACTTGAGAGCGGCCCTAAGTGGCTGGGAGCCATAGGAAGTTCAGCCCAAGCCTCTAGGCTCGTCAATTCCGTGAGCTCTTCGCCATCACTGCTACTTCATTCTTACTTTGGCTGCTTACCCGGAAACCACCACAGACACCTGTAGTGCCTGGAAAAGAAGAGAAGTACCCCACGGAGGCCCTCTAGTTTGCCCACTTATGGACAAGATGCCAGACTGCATCTTAGCAATGGCCTCAGAACTGCCGATTCTGTAACCCAGTGCTTGACAGGCAGCAGAAAAAAAAACACAACCCAGCCCGTGCCGAACCACCAGCTACCAGCAGCATCTCCCACAGACAAGGCCTATACCACCACCACGAGGATTTTCCAGGGAAGTGACTCATGGGGCACCGGAGGAGATTAGGCCGGTTCCCAACAGCCACACACAGGGTCTACCTCAACCCTCACAGGAAGGTCACACCCAGACTGGGAGGCACCTCTGGTCGGGTGGGAGGGAAACCCAAGAAGTAGCCCCAAAGGGGTCGGCCACCTGGACTCCCCCGGCGCTGGCTTTCCAGACCCCTACGTGGTTTGGGTTTATTTTTGTGTATGGGGGGGGGGAATCTTGGAAACGATATTAAAACTTTATAATGAAGACCAACATGGGCCTAAAACTGTTAAGCTGCGGACTCAGAGGAGAACAAGGGGGCCGCGCCTGAGCCGAGGGAAAAGCTCTCAACGGCAATGGAAGGGAAACGCTCCGGAGCCGGCCGGGCCTGGACGCCGGTTGACGCGACCACCGGCGGGGAGGCCGTCGGTCTGAGGCCGGCTCGCCCTCTGAGGCCCGCTCACTCGCCCCGGAGCCCCGAGGGTCTGTCACCCGCGGGCCGCACCCGACCCGGCGGTTCCTACCCCGACCCAGGCCGACCGTCAGGACACCGCGACGGACAGCGCCCGCTTGAGAAGGCGCCCGCGGCGAACAGAAGAAACGAGCGGACGCGCTCCCGGGCCGCGGCCCCCTCACCCTGCAGGAGGCGGATCTGCCGCCGCAGTTGCTCCTTTTCCTCCATCTCCGGAGTCCGCGACGCCCAGCCAGGCCCCCGCGACGTCATCACCGCGCGACTGCCTCCTCGGGGCGGGGCCGAAATGGACGAGGGGCTCGCCTCCGCGTGAATTTCAGGTTGGGATGCAGTGTCGCCCGGGCAACCCTGCGCGAGCGCATGCGCACAGCGAGAAACGTTTCCCCCACCCTACCCCCCCATCATCCTGAAACGCCCGGAAGTGGCGGCGGGGCAATCTGGCTTCCGTACCAATTCCTGCGCCTTACTCCGCCGCTGGGAGTTCCATGAGGGACTTGGAGGAGATGGGTAATAGTTCCCTTGGATACAGGAAGCCCTTTTATTGCCTTATTTTTTTTTTTTGAGACAGTATCTCACTGTGTATTCCCGACTGGGAAAACATAGCTAGGGTACTCGCTATGTAGACCAGGTTGGCCTCGAACTCACAGATCTGGAATTAAAGGCGTGCCCTTTTAACGCCTTTGCTACGGCGGCAGCGCGAGAACATTCTCGCAGAAAAGAATCGGAGGCTGTTTTTGCGGGTGGCAACAGACGTCAAGACGAGAAAATCCTTGGGTGGGGTTAGTAGGAAAGGCTGCAACCTCGAGAAAATAGTGGAGGCGTTTCAGTACTAGAGTTGCCGTGGGATCAAGCAGTTCCACGTCTAGGTGTATAACCAGACAGTAAGAAATACCGACTCTTGTGGCCGGAGAGCCCGCTCAGCGGTGAATAGCACTGGCTGCTCCTCCAGAGGTCCTCAGTTCAATTCTCAGCTACCACATGGTGGCTCACAACCATCTCTGATAGAACCTGGCATGCAGACAGCACTCATACATTTAAAATACATAAATAAATACTTTTTTAAAAAAAGGAAATACCAGTTCTAACACATTTGTACATCATAATAGCTAACTGGAAGCAACCCAAGTGACTGTACACACGAAAGTGAGATATTATTCAGTGTTTTGTTTTGAGACAGGGACTCACTATGTAGACCATTCTGGCCTCGAACTCTCAGAGATCTGCCTGCCTCTGCCTCTGCCTCCCAAGTGCTGGAATTAAAGGTGTGCAATGTTTGTTTGTGGTGTTAAGGCTCCAGGAGTCTGGCAAAGTCCTCTTCCACTGAGCTGTATCTGCACAGTCTATTGTTACCTGAAAAAGAAAATGAAGTCTAGAGCTGGGTTTGGTAGGACACACCTATAAGCCCCAGTATTAAGAAATGAGCCGGGCGGTGGTGGTGCACACCTTTAGTCCCAGCACTCAAGCAGCAGAGGCAGGAGGATCCCTGAGTTCGAGACCAGCCTGGTCTACAGAGCGAGTTCCTGGACAGCCTCCAAAGCTGCAGAGAAACCCTGTCTCAGAAAAAAAAAAAAAGTGAAGGCAGATAGCAGGGCATTTATAGCACACACCTTTAATTCCAGAGCAAGTTCCAGGACAGCCTCCAAAACAATACAGAGAAACCCTGTCTCGAAAAACCGAGAAAAAAAAAAAGCAGGCATAGTTTAGTGTCAGCCTGACAGTGACACAAGCTAAAATCATCTGAAAGGGGGAATGGCAATTAAGAAAATGCCTCCTTAAAATCAGGTTGTAGACAAACCTGTAGGGCATTTTCTTTTTTTTTTTTTTTTTTTTTTTTTTTTTTTGGTTTTTCGAAACAGGGTTTTTCTGTAGCTTTGGAGGCTGTCCTGGAACTCACTTTGTAGACCAGGCTGGCCTCGAACTCACAGAGATCCGCCTGCCTCTGCCTCCCGAGTGCTGGGATTAAAGGCGTGTGCCACCAACGCCCGGCTGGGCATTTTCTTAATTAGTGATTGATGTGAGGGCTCAGCCCATTGTGGGTGGTGGCAGCCTTGGGCCGAAGCCTTGAGTTCTATAAGAAAGCCTGCCGAGGGCAACAGCAGGATGTCCAGCAGGAGCCCTAGTGAGACCCATCATCCATACGGTAGAAACCAGAGGCTCCAAACCAGACCAATGACTCTTTACAATGAACGAATAAAGATAAATGGACAAAGGGGTTCATGGCATGACTCACACTGTGTCACACTGCAGCTTCCGTGATGAGGTTTTAAAGTTTTTCCTTTTTTATCTTTTGTCTCTTAAATTTTGTTATGTTTGGGGGGGTGCAGGTTTGGAGGGCTGATACAAAGGGATGGAGAAGTGAATGGGATCAAGATACGTGATGTAAAAGACATATAGGAAGAGCCGGGCGTTGGTGGCGCACGCCTTTAATCCCAGAACTGGGGAGGCAGAGGCAGGCGGATCTTTGTGAGTTCGAGGCCAGCCTCCAAAACAATACAGAGAAACCCTGTCTCAAAAAACAAAACAAACAAAAAAAAGTCACATAGAATAAATAAAAAGAAAGCCTGCTGAGCAAGCCAGAGGGAACAGGCCAGTAAGCAGCATCCCTCCATGGTCTCTAAAGAAGTTCCTGCCCAATTTGAGTTCCTGTCCTGAGTTCCTTCAGTGATAGCCTGTGATGCAGACGTGCAAGCCAAATAAACCCTTCCCTTCCCAACGTGCTTCTGGTCATGCCAAATAAACCCTTCCCTTCCCAATGTGCTTCTGGTCAAGCCAAATAAACCCTTCCCTTCCCAATGTGCTTCTGGTCATGCCAAATAAACCCTTCCCTTCCCAACGTGCTTCTGGTCATGCCAAATAAACCCTTCCCTTCCCAACGTGCTTCTGGTCAAGCCAAATAAACCCTTCCCTTCCCAATGTGCTTCTGGTCATGCCAAATAAACCCTTCCCTTCCCAATGTGCTTCTGGTCATGGTGTTTCGTCACAGCAGTCGTGACCCTAGCTTGGACAAGTGGCGGTGGTTTGAGTGAGAAAGCCCCTCACAGGCTCATAGATTTGAATACTTGGTCCCTGTCAGGTAACCATACATTTGAAAACCTATTCCACCCTCCATATTTATTGTCTTTAAGATGTCAGCAAATGGCTGCCAGATGTCCTGGCCTCAATGGAGAATGACTCCTATCTAAATGACAATAGACTTGGGCCAACTACTCACTACAGATGGAGGTCCCACCGAGATCCGGAAAGAAGGGAAATTGAAGATTTACTCAAAGCCGGCCAGCAAGTAAGGCAGGAGGGTGTGATTGGATAGGGGTACCAAGTTAGGGGTACCGAGTCAGGCCCCAAATAGAGGGTCAGCCCCCGCAGAGGGGTGATTTGAAGTTAGGCTCCAGCCCTCGCTTGACCCGTTGGGGTCAGGATTGTCAGGGAATTCCTGAGAGCCCATCCCCACAGAAAGCCAGCCAGCACTCTCCTTAAGGTTAGGAGTGAGTGTAATAAATATGGGTGCTACTAGTTCCTACCCTCTTTTAGAGGACCATTTGATCCAATTGTTAAAATGTCAGGGCACCAATATCAGACATAAGACAGCTAAGGACTTCTTAAAAACTATAATACATAAAGTTAGCCCTTGGTTTTTGGTCTCTGGTGATCTTAATTTCCTCGATTGGAACCAGGTTAGAGTGGACCTACAAAGAACTTTACATAAGTGTCAAATACCATACCAATTGTTGCCTTTTCTCTGTGGTGTCTTGTTAAGGATGCGCTTATTAGTGATAATACGGTAGCAAAAAAAAAAAAAAGATCAAAAAAGCTAAAGTTGCCTTCACAGAGGCTCAAGACCTAGAGTCTGTAAGATTGATTTAAGCTTCCAATGCTTCCTCTTCTGAGTACTTTCCCTCTTCTTCAGGGGAAGAGACTGAGGAACATAGATCAATTCAAACTTCTAATGTCCCTTCTTCTGAGTCCTCTCCCTCTTCTTCAGGGGATGAGACTGAGGAACACAAAAAGCCTCAAAAAAAAAAAAAGGCGTCCTCAAATTAAACAAGCTTTAAAAATGCTCCCTTAAGCCTCGTCCCCCTGCCTGTAACCGTAAACGTTCTGGTTCTCTCTGTCTTCATCCTCAGGGCCGGGGTCGGAGAGAACATTCCCCTCTTGGCTTTGGGGAAGGGGAACAGTTAAAGGAGGCAGTTGTGGCGTGTGGGCCTCATGCCCTTTTCAATCTGGCTGTTTTTGGATCCTTTGCAGCCTTAGTTTGGGCCCCCGATATTTGGCAGCGATTATGCCATGTTGCACTGTTGGGGGGGAGATTGTTTGGCCTGGAGGGGTGAATGCCGGGAACCCTGTGGCCAGGCAGCGCATCCCGGCTGCCGATTTCCCTGGTGGGAATTTAGAGGTGCTTGCTGTTTGCTGGCACCGGATGGGCTCTGGGCCAGCAGGTTCTTTACGACCGGACCGTTTGTGTGCAGACCTCAGTGGCTGCTGGCCGCACATTTGGGGATCTTCAAACCACCTTGAGATTGGCTGGCTTGCAGGTGACACCGAGAAGGTACAAAAGGAGTTTTCATATCATGACTCAGATATAGATGTAACACTTGTGCCATCTTTGGTAAATTACAGTTTGTCCATGTTTCTGTAGATTCTTTTCCCACCTGATATTCGCCTCTGCCCACTCTGGTGAAAAAGTAAAATGTTAAGAGCCACTGTTTACAGGCTTTTGCTTACATGGGGGGGTCCCAAAACAAATTAAAACAGAAAACGGCCCCACCTATGTCAACAGAGGTTTCAATCACTTTTGTCTAGATTTTGATATTTCCCCAAAACTGGAATTCCTTAAAACGCCCCAAGGGCCGGCTATTGTAGAACGTGCTCATGGCACTCTGAAGGCCTATTTAGCTAAAGCAAAGAAGGGGACCATGGGGATCACTTTGGCTCCCCTCACTCTACTCTATCACTCATCTTCTATATCTTACATTTTTTAGTTATGGATGCTTCTGGCAACTCCACAGCAGACTGTCATTGGCAGTCCACTGTACAGCAAAAACCTCTAGTTGAATGGAAAGACCTACCCTCAAGTCTTTGGAAAGGACCAGATCCGGTTAGGGTATGGGCCGGGGGTTTGTTTATGTATTCCCACAGGATGGTGAGTCCCTGATTTGGGTTTCGGAGCGTTGTGTGTGCTCTGATCCTGCTGATACACATCAGCCGCCAATAGACCCATTAGGCTTTAATGAGGAACTGGCCTGTCTTGATGCCAGCGGGTCTTCAGAGTCAGGTACACCTAGCTACTTGACTGCATAGTTTTAAGCAATTCATCCATTGCTGATTTTTTCCTAATGCCTTATTGGCCTTAAGATCACCCCCTTTTTTGCCCGACCCTAGGCATTGGCAGGACCCGCTTAATTGATCCTCTTTGGAGCTGGTTCACACCAACCTTCTCAGGATGGATTTGCCTGCTTAGACATTTGTTATAGTCAATAACACTCCCTCAGGAGAAATATTTAATTATTTCCTCCAGGACTGCCGCTTGAAAAGCTGTTGGGATGGTGAAATATCAGCCTTGGTGGTCCGTGTCCCAGGTGTCATGCCTATTCCAATGGAACACTCAGGAGAGAACCAACTCGTCCTCACATCACAGTGGCTGCAGTTTGTGGCCTCCCTATCTCTTAGTTGCCACGGCAGGGCATGCTGAATAAACCCCCAGGGGAGGATGCCTCTACCTGAAGTTCCCAAAATTATATTAATTACAATTGAGCACTTTAAATCTTAATTAACAAATGGACTTAATTGTCTATTCTAACTGAGACCAGGGTGCCTCCCTTTTAGGAGACCCCCTCTTAATGGGACTGCAAAAGACAGGTCTATTAAGAAATGGAGTGGGGCCGGGCGGTGGTGGCGCACGCCTTTAATTCCAGCACTCGGTGGATCTCTGTAATGGGAGGCTTTTTCCTTGAGAGAAGCCTTCCCGCCAGCCTGGTTCTAGAGCCGCATCAGTCCCAAATAAACACACAAGACGCTGTACTAATTATGAAGCTGTTGGCCTTGCTTGTTTCTTACTGGCTAGCTCTGCTTTAAGTAATTACCCCATAATTGTTAATCTAAGTATGTCTCTTACCGGAGAAGTTTCTGGGCTTCCTACCCCATGGCGTTACATCTCAACCCTCCGTATGTTTCTCCTTCCCAGAGTTCTCCTGGACTCCTAGTCCCACCTATCTAGATTCCTATTGGCCAGCAGTGCTTTATTGACAAATGCACAGGCCTTCCCCCCCCCCCAACAAATCTCTGTGAGTTCGAGGCCAGGCTGGACCGACAGCCTCCAAAACAATACAGAGAAACCCTGTCTCGTAAAAAACCAAAAAAAAAAAAAAAAAGAATATTCTGCAGCTTAAAAGTTCTTCCTTTTCTAGTGGTAGGCTCAGTCATATGGCAGACTGCCTTCAACTTCCCATCTCTCAGAGTTCTGAGATAAGCAGGCACCAGCCAGTAGCAGTGAGGAGGGGAACCTATTGCTTCCTGCCTACTGTGACTCTGATGAGCCATTAGCTCACCTCATAGATTTGCTTCTTACATATCTACCACAGAGCTGCACAAGAAGTAAAATAAAAGGATATTTCTTCAGGCTGACTATGGGAACTCACTTCTACAACAAAGCAAGGGGAGTGGGGAAAGTTCTAGTTAAATGTAAACATTTTTTTCTCAAATGCAATTAAATATCTTAAGCAAAAAAAAAAAAAAGAAAACTTTAAAGGGGCAGAAAGATGGCTCAGTGCGTACAGGTGCTTACCATCAAGCCTGATAACCTCAGTTCAACCCCTAAAATCCACCTGGCAGAAGGAGAAAACGGATTCCAGAAAGATGTCCTCTGACCGCCAGGCACACACCATAGCATGGGCATGTACTCTCACACAGAAACACATGTGTCTTACAAGTGAATAGCCTTAGAAGTAAAATGGCCACAGGGCCAAAGATTCGCATCAGTTGTGCTAACGAAGCATCTCCTCACACAGGCAGACACAACCCATTGTCTGAACCCCACCCACAGGGGCTCCTGGGACACCTCCATGCAATGACAGGTACTCTGAGGACTTCTGTGATCATGATAGAGACAGCATGCAAGGTTTAAAAGGCCTGGCTTTCCACACCAGAAGGACAGCCTGAGACTGGGGAGTGTAGGCAGGAGGCTGGCTCACATGGAGGCTTCTGGAATCAAGGTGAGAAGCCGGTCTCAAACAGAACATGTGTATGGAGAGGTTGAATCTATCAGAACCTTCTTTGCTTCCGGCTTCTTTTTTTTTTTTTTTTTTTTTTTTTTTTGGTTTTTCGAGACAGGGTTTCTCTGTGGCTTTGGAGGCTGTCCTGGAACTCTGGAACTCGCTTGGTAGTCCAGGCTGGTCTCGAACTCACAGAGATCCGCCTGCCTCTGCCTCCCGAGTGCTGGGATTAAAGGCGTGCCCACCTGCAGTCTTAAAAAGCACTTGTGCATTGGCCTAGCCTGGTCTTGCTCCTCATAGCCTCCTACAACTGCAACTGCCGTCTTGTGAAGAAGTTAGGGCTGGCATACTGGAAAACAAACAGCACATACTCTGTTATGACTGCTCTGCCCCTCCTCCAAATTTGTATGCTGAAATCCTGGCCCTTTGTGATGTGTTAAGTAGGGTCCTTGGTAGATGAATAGGTAGGTCATCCGGGGAAATTCTGACGATGAATGGTTGGCCTAAGAGAAGAGGCTGGAGAGCTAGCTCATTCACCACTGCTCTTGATAAACCACCAAGAGCCCAACCTTGGAAGCACCTGTGATGCCTAATCTTGGTTGGCAACTTGACTGCATCGAGAACCAGCTAAAACACAAGCATCTGGGCACTTCTTTTTTTTTTTTTTCTTGGTTTTTCGAGACAGGGTTTCCCTGTGGCTTTGTAGCCTGTCCTGGAACTCGCTCTGTAGACCAGGCTGGTCTCGAACTCACAGTGATCCGCCTGCCTCTGGCATCTGGGCACTTCTGTCAGGGTTGTTGATCAGATTATCCAAGCAGGTAGATTCACCATAAGCTTAGGTGGCACCTTCTGGTGGCAGCCCAGATGAGAGGAAGTGAAAGAAAGAAACTGCTGTTTGTCTTCTCTCCCTCACTCCCCCGAAAGCTCATGTACCCTGTTCCTGCGGAACCCTTCACTGATATTAGACCTAGTGTCTTTGGACCTCCAAAGTAGATGGAAGACCAGCAGTTCTCTAGGAATCCTGCAAGCCTTCATGGTCAGTTCTCTTCCTTTAGAGACAGACTGGGACAGCATC